AATCGTACGGTGTCGAATAATTTGGTGTCGAATCGTACGGTGTCGAATAATTTCGTGTCGAATCGTACTGTGGTCAAACGGAACCCGCCCGTTTGAACGCACGAGGCAACAACATCGGAGCGCCGCCATTGCCAGTACCAGTCACGCTTCGAAACGGATTTTTAAAAAAATATATACTCTTTTAATAAAAAATTCTTACTCGAGAACATTCTCGAACTTTTCTCCCACACAAATTCCTCAACAAAAAAAAATTAATATACACATTTTTAGAAAAGTATAAAAATTTATAAAAAATTTATGGGGTCATAAATCATGTCACTTTTCCATCCCCTCCAGTGGGCGTGGCCAATCACCACCAAGGGAGGAGGAAACCACCCTGGTGGAGCAATGGCGCCAGAAGTGGTGGGGGGGCCAAGTGGAGGGGGTTTGTTTTGACGCGCCATAAGTGCCCACATACTACTCACGTATATATATATATATATATACACGTATAATTTCCGCACAATACCTAGCAAACGGCTCTCATGACCGAATATATATTTATTAGTTTTAAAATTTTACTATTACAAATATTACTTTTATTCAGAACATTATTATAAATTGATCATTAATTGTTGTTGTTTACTTGCAGAACAAAAGGAAAAGGATTTGCAAATATAAAGTATTAAATATTGCAACAATAAGTTGTAAAACTATCGTAACAAATAACAATTATATAACAAATATAACAAATGTAACAAGTATAACAAATAACAAAATTAACATAATAAATACATATAAAATACATATACTTTTGTTTTTTCCGACATAAAATATATGTTAATAATGAGTATGTTTTGTTTACTACAAATGTAAACTATAGATGCAAGGTGTGATCAAAAAGTAAGGTGTTTCTTTGAATTTCGCGCGCTCTGTACACTCTAATTTCAAAATTTTTTGTTGTTGTGTTGGTACACTCGTCACGATCTAATGTTCACAGTTTTGACTATATAGCATGTGTTGTTTTTATGTGAGAGGCATAAAAGTTAGACTTGTGTTTGCGTGCTCGGCAATTGTTTGCTGTTGAAAATAATGGAGCAGAGAGTTTGTAATAATTTTTGTGTAAAAAATGGTATTAAGTGTTCAAAAACTGTTGAAATGTTGACAGTGGCGTACGGTGAGTCAACTTTGAGCAAAAAAATGTTTCTAAATGGTATAAGTTATACCACGAGGGCCGAGAAAATGTTAACAATAAACCTCGTTCTGGACGCTACAGCACGTCAAAAATCGACGAAAATGTTCAGAAAGTGAAAGAAATTGTGTTTAAAAATCGTCGAATCACGATTAGAGAAGTAGCTGATGATCTTAACATATCGTTTGGCTCATGCCAATCAATTTTAACGGATGTTTTGGGTATGACACGTGTGTCAGCAAAATTCGTTTCAAAACTGCTTAATTTTGATCAAAAGAAGTATCGCATTAGTAGTAGTTTTTTGGCCACAAACAATACTACCATCATGCCTCAGCCACCGTATTCACCAGACTTGGCCTCCTGCGACATTTTCCTCTCCCCAAAATTGAAAAGGCCCATGAAAGGACNAAGATTTGCGACGATTGAGGAGATTAAGGCTGCATCGCTAAAGGAGCTCAAGGCAATACCCAAAAGTGCATTTCAGAAATGTTTTGACGACTGGAAAAAGCGCTGGCACAAGTGTATTTTATCAGAGGGGAATTATTTTGAAGGGGATAACATAATTTTGGATAAATAAATGAATATNTTTTTATAAAAATGAAAAGTCACACCTTATTTTTTGATCACACCTCGTATACAAATAAATATAAAATATAAATATATACAATAATATAAAATATTGTGGTAAACAAATATATAAAACAATTTAGTAATATTATAAGTACTGGTTTACGTTTTGTTTTACATATATATGTAACATATTTATATATTATATAACTGTTTTAAATATATGTACTCTCCATAACATGTACAGAGGAGCGCACTGTATCGTTCCGCTCCAAGGAAAGGTTTTCTCTGAAATTTCTCTTTTGGCTGTTTCTATTACCGCGCGCCGTACTCTTTCGATCTCCGCCAGCGGCCCGAGATTGAAGGAAAACGGCGCGCTGTAGTAGGGACAGCCGGAGGAGAAATTTCCGAGAAATACAGGGTGCGGCGCCAAAATCCGGACAAATTTCAATTTGATATTCCCTCCGTTCAGTACCATTGGCAGATGTCGCGATTGGCATT